CTCATTTAATTAAATTGCCTTGGAAGGTTTTTCTTAACCTTTTTTCGTTTGTCTTGCTTCCAGAACTCATGAGTCAACCACTTTCTTCGAATGCTGCAAGATCGGTGCTAACTTAGTTGGGGGGGGGGGGGGCACGCGGCGCGGCAGTCTGCTCACCTGGGCTCTCTCGAGCGAGACAGTGTAAACTCGAACATTCCAGCTTTTCACGCATGTCAAGTGACTGCCCCCCCCCCCTAGACTGGCTACACTCCCCCTGGCCCACGGATTTCCGAACATGCCAGGCGAGCAGACTGCCGCGCCGCCGCGTGCCCCCCCCAACTAAGTTAGCACCAAAATCTTCATATTCATTGCAACACGGTAACTATACTTCGTGTGTCGGTTCGTAAGCATGGTCTTGCCCGCCCGGCGCGAACATGTATCTGCAATATGGATACACCCACGATGCCAGCCCTGCCCGACCACTAACAAGGGAGGTCGTTCAGGGTGTGGAGCGCTTTTTCAAAACGGTTTCCTTGCATGCTGTAGGGGCTCTCACGGGGACTACAATACTATGTTTCATTTTCGCTGAGCGGCCCCCTGAAGGCCAAAAAATGGTAAGGAAATGGTCCAAGGTTCAATCCCTCCTGATGACAAAATTTTTGCATTCGGTTGGAGCTTCGAAATTCGCTCAAAATAGCGCCAGCACCAATATTAGGTATCGTATTCATTATCAAGACCATGAATGAGTACTGCACTCGAACTATTGCCAGAATCTAGCGGAAAAAAGTTGTAGCGCCAGAAAGACGCCAAATGGCGCCAAACTAGCGCTAATTGAAGCTATCGGAAAAGATTGATGTCATATTCATGATCAGGGCACTCGATATTCTCTAAATTAGAAGTTCTAGAGAAAATTGAGATTTTGACCTTGGTCCGAAAAATTGGCCATTGATAGGTCAGCCCATAAGTACCTGCAGCTGGTGAACTGGAAACGAATTCCTTGTTCTCCTTCTCAAATAATGAGAAGTTCCAATACTAAATGGACAATGGCAGACACCCAAGCTGGTAATGGACAACAAGACACCATGATTTTGAAGTCGACAGATTCTCCCTCCATCAGGACGTGGTATATTGGGCCCACGGCTCCTCCACTCGCACGGCTGCATCTCGATAGCTGGAGCGATTTCAAGGACTGCGACGTGATGGAAGATGTTTAGTATAAAACCGAATTTTGGTTCTCGTAAACCAACAAGGCATTCCGCTTACTTTCCGCCTCTGAACCGGGACCGAAATAATCACGAAACGTGCATTTTGTAGAGCGTATGTCTAAATTAAAGTAGTCGGAGTGACCTGCGTCATTAGCAAGGTTTACTGACGTGGTAAATCTGTTTTCGTCAAAATGTGCCACAAGTCCGGTACAGTAAAAATTTAGGGTATATTGACACCCGCCGAAGCCTTGCCAGCTACAAGGACCAAGATGACCTGCCTCCGACGTCCGGATGGAACAGTTACTGCATCCCGAAGGGCAATGGAGAAAGTCATCCACGACTTCTACTCGGATCTCTTCGATAGCCATGTCCATCTGCCTACTTATCAACTGCAAGAGGATGGATACGTCGTCCCCTCAGTTCTCTCTTCCGAAGTCCGACACGCCATCAAGTCGGTGAAGAATCGTACAGCACCCGGTCTCGACAGGGTCAAACCGGAACATCTGAAGAATGCGCCGCCAGTTATGATCAAAACCACCATTCTACAAGGAGGTCATTACCGACGTCAGGGCGACACCATCTCGCCCAAACTCTTCAGCGCCGCTCTCGAGAACGTCATGCGTCAACTGGAATGGGAAGACATGGGAGTGAAGGTCGACGGCCGGCAACTACACCACCTTCGTTTTGCTGACGACATCGTTCTTATAACGCCGAACATCGAGCAAGCGGAGCGAATGCTGGCTGATTTCGACTGCGCCTGTGGTAAGGTCGGTCTACAGCTGAACCTAACGAAGACGATGTTTATGAGAAACGGATTGGTTCCTGATGCCCCATTCACGCTCAACGGAACGAACATCACCGAATGCTCCAGCTACGTGTACCTAGGTCGGGAAATCAATATGATGAACGATCTAGCTCCAGAGCTGAGCAGGAGGAAACGAGCGGCTTGGGGAGCGTACAAGAACATCGAGGGAGTAGTGAAGAAGACGAAGAACATCCGGCTCCGTGCCCACCTCTTGCAGTCCTTCCTGCCTTAACTTACTAACGGACATTATTATTACTAACGGATACGTCATGCGATTTTGCGATGACCGTTGGACCAGAGCGGTTACCGACTGGATCCCTCGGGACGTCAAACGAACACCTGGACGACCGCCGGCCCGATGGTCAGACTTCTTCACGAAAGCTCTGAACGAAAGGAATGAAGGACTTCGTGTCCCTCGAGCGAGGAGGATCCACGCGACAGGGACGAATGGAGACGTTGCTGGCGCCCGCTCGAGCAATTCGATGATCAACGGGACGACAGGTGATACAGGTGATGTTGACGCAGATCTAGATAAAGCGTAAGGTACATAAATGAGTTACTTCTTGTTTTCTATAACCCACTGCTCCCATTCCGAATTGGTCAACACTATTACTATTTACACTGCACACGGTATCTTTGATTCAGACTTACTAGAAGCTTGTGAGTGAGAGGACGCGGTCAACAGCTACAGAGAACAACAGGAATACTGATATAATTAATCCAAAAATTGGAGCAAGTTGGAAGTATACACACATGTCTTGCCGAATGAGGTGTTCTCCAACTCTGAAACATTAAAATTGACCTCGATACTGTACGCAACCTCGCTTCAAAAAGGTTAGCGACTCGCAATTTTTTTGGCGCGTCGTAGAGCGAGATTAAAATGCGTTGATTTGATTGCCTTGATACGCTTCAACAATTTCTGACAGCTGATGTCTGTCGCCGCTTATCATGCGCATGGAGACAAGTTATAATAGATCCAATATGGGACACACAGCCAGTTCAGTGCAGTGTGGGTAGACGCCGCACTTAGAGGCATGAGGATCAGTCTTTGGAATGAGCTCCTCTCGTTTCAACTAAGACTCCCTTTTAATCAATCCCTCTGCAGGTCACTGCTAGGCGACTGCCCATTTAAAGCCTATTATTCTAAGCGAAAGTCGAATGTGTGGTGCTAGCTAGGTCGTGAGAGGCGGGTCCACGTCAAGGGAGTTAATTTTCGATTTCAACGCTGCTGTGGCCTCACGGCACAGCCACCGATTTTACCGTTCGAGCGAATTCTGCGTTTTGGCGCTGGCGGGATCAACATGCAACTGCTGCCTTCATAGTGCGCGACAAGATCACTGTCTTGCCTTTACAGCTGTGATAACTACCACTATTTCTCGCTCACAGCGCGTGCTGTACATAGACTTGTCACAGCAATACCTGGATAGTTACAATTCCTCTAGTCCAGATTAGTCCTTTAGCAT